AAAAAAACATTACGAAATTAGTGGCGTGAAATTAATTTCGTGACGTTAGTTTTACCAACAGTTTCACGTGTAATTTAATACTTTCGTAATGCATGCATTAATTTCATGCATGGAAATTAGTTTCGTGCCCTGCGCGATTTTTTGGTGAAATTAATGTCATGCAACTAATTTCATAGTGTAGACGCGACGTGAAACTAATGTCGCGAAAGGGCCTGCGCTGTGCGGACGTGTGTATTGTTAGTTCGGACGCGCTTCAAGCGTTGAAAATGGCAAACCAACGATGGAGTACAGATAAAAATATAGATCTTATTAATGAATATCAGCGACAAGGGTGTCTCTGGGACCCGAAACACCAACAGTAAAAAAGCAAAATTATCTTCACTCATTCGATAATAGTTTTTATAACTCTCAGGATCTTCATCTGCTAATTCAGAGACTAACTTCATTGCACCTAAATGCCTTCTTGTTGACCATCCTCGAATCTACCAACCTTTTTTTTTCTTGATAGTCTTTTTTTAAGTTTATATTCTATAGCTACATTGAATATAGCAAATTATAGCTTTGATGCTAACGGCGCCATGGTTACTGCGATACTGTGGATTTCGCGACACTAATTTTTTAACGAAACTACTTTCGCATATTATATCGAAACTACTTTCGTGAAACTGAGCTCAACATGCATGACACTAATTTCGTAATGTAAACTCGGCATTAGCCTTGCGTGGCTGTGTCAACGTAACCTAACAAGTAGGTGAGCTTACGGGGCTCAAACCTGACGACGGATGAGTTTCTCGCCGAATCTTCTCAGTGGGTTTCCGATCCGGTGGTAGATTCTGCGAAGCACCGCTCTGGCTAGGACTAGTGTTAGTAAGGCCTCTTGGTTTGAGTCCCGAGAGCTCACCTACACGTTACCCTCTCAAGGCTATCATCTAAGGCAGGGAAAAAAATGGGACTTAAATATTGAAATGCCCTCAGATGTTCGTTCCGTTGTCAGGTTCGCGAGGCCCAAGAAGCTCTAGAGGTCCACAACGACGAAACCGCCGAACTGTCGGAGGCGGCAGAGATGGCGGCCCTCGACAAGGAGATGGCGGAGGAGCGAGCCGAGGCCCTGCAGATGGAGTTGGAGCAGTGCCGGGAGAAACTGGAGGAGGCCACTCTCGACCTGCAGCTGATGAAGGCCGAGATGGAAGCCGGCGGGAACATTCGTGAGTATTTTTTCTTTTTGAGAGTAGTTGGAAATTTTGGGTTTTTTTTTATTGCCCTTGTAGGCAGACGGGCACACGGCCCACCTGATGGTGAGTGAGTTACCGTCGCCCATGGAGCCAAGCCGCTGCCTGCCGAAACAACAAAAGCCGTTGCTTGGGCGGTCAGCGAAACAATATTCAGATTATAATTACTTTAAATTTCACTAAACGGATTAATGAAACAATATTCAGATTATAATTACCTACTTTAAATTTCACTTAACGGATTAATCCTGGCAATATTTGTGGAGTTCGCCCCTGATAATTCATTAATTCATTCCACTTTAGTCAATACTTAATGTATGAAGTATATAAATAAAAAAATTAAAGGGATAGTGTATGTAGTCATTCCTTAAAATCAAGATTAATATAACATATATATTGACCTCTAAATTTGATATGAAATAATCAAAAGTGGACCTTAACACCTTAAAAATAAGGCACATTCTGCGATATTCATAGAGATCGGTTTTGTGCGGTCAATATGTATGCTTATAATAACAAAGCATCTTCAGCTCTGCTCGTGAGCACACAAGTCCTACTTACTTATGATTATTTATGCTTTTTGCTTTGCTATTGTCTTTGCTTTGTTATTTATATATTTATGTATGATTTTAAATATTATTATTTCACTGTAGAATAATACTATGGGGTGTCTAAAAGAAAAGCGGTAATTGGTATGAGGCAATTATCTTTGATTAAATAAATGCTATATTTTATATCTTATTTTTCGATGTACACATCTATCAGGATTTATGCACTCTGTATATAATAATAATAATTATTATTGCATTGTGAGGAGGTTTCTCACTCCTAGTCCTAACCACTGGGGGCTTGTATCCTAGATACCGCCATCAGAGGCAATCTATTTTTATATAGTGTTTTTTAAAAATTGTATATTTAATATCTTTTTAAAAATATAGTGTATAATTAATAATATTTTAAATAAACAGATTTAGATTAATGCATTTAGATAAATAAAAGAAAAGAAAGAGAAAAAAGGCAAAAGGAGGTGGCTTAGCTAATGCTGTTCAAAGTAGATGAATCGAAATCAAAACTTTTATGTAGAGATAAAGCTGGCCTTTTTTAAAAAAAGTCTCTTCGTGATTAATCCTTTAAAAAATCGGGTACAGCGGCGACTCTTGCGTCATCATTTTCAAACTTATGGTCGCCGAGATTTTACTTTAACGGCGGAAATATAAGAAAGAACAGAGAAGGGTAGAGAAGAAGAGAGAAGGAGAAATAGGTGGAAATCACGCGAATTTCAAATTTTATCCATTTCTAAGAGCACGTTTAGACACGACGTAAACCAAATTCTTAGCAAAAAAATAAAATAAAAAAAGGTCTGTGAGGAACCTTTGAAAGAATCTCAGCTAATTATAATATTATTTTATAGATATACACAAAGAAATTTTAAATGTACGTACATACAACATTACATTTAAAATGAGTACACGTTATTTTCATTATGTATATATAAATTCATTTTGTAAACATTTATTTTCTATGTAGTCTATAGGTTGTTGTTTTAAAAAATTAAAAATAACCCAGTTGAACTGTTTTGATGTGTGTGTAAGTGTGAAAGAGACGACTATATTATTGAATGTTTCAATTGTAACGGTTGTTGTTTGTAAATGTTTTGATGCGTCCTTAATGCATGACCATGTTCTTAGTACTTTCGCGGAGCTTTTAATATACGGATCGCGGTGTATTGGTGCTGCTGGAAGTGATTTGGATGGCTTTAAACAGAATGAGATCAGTAAATATGTTGGACGGTGTTAAACAAAATGAGATCAGTAAATATGTTGGATGGTGTTAAGTAGAATGAGACCAGTAAATATGTTGGACGGTGTTCAACAGATTAGAACCAGTAAATATGTTGTTCAATTACGAATTCGACATCCACGCAAATTCTTGTTTCCTCTCTCGATGATGATGACGATGATGACTTAAGAATAAAATTATATTCGAAATGCGATTAACATCTATCGCTGTCATGACTAGTATGGATATAGGAATGTACTGATGGTAGGAACTCTTGTGAGTCCGCGCGGGTAGGTACCACCACCCTGCCTATTTCTGCCGTAAAGCAGCAGTGCGTTTCGGTTTGAAGGGTGGGGCCAGCCGTTGTAACTATACTTGAGTCCTTAGAACTTATATCTCAAGGTGGGTGGCGCATTTACGTTGTAGATGTCCAGCTCCAGTAACCACTTAACACCAGGTGGGCTGTGAGCTCGTCCACCCATTTAAGCAATAAATAAAAAATGTAATAATCGAATCGAATAATCTATCTATCTATGAAATATCTATGAATTCTTCAGTTTTGATTGATTCGGTGGTGCAGTAGTTAGCGGCCTTGACTGTGGCGTCAAGGGTCGTGGGTTCGATTCCCGCATCGGGTAAACTTTCGTGCGATGAACAAAGGGGATGGCCCATTTTAGGCCCAAAGCGGACAATAGATTATAGAAAAAATACTTAGTGCATTAATTTTGTCATAAATAAATATGCATTTACTTTCTTGCAAATAAGCGCCACTATAGTTTACAATAAGTAGTTTAAAAAAAGTAACTCTATTGAAAAAACAAGGATTTTTATTTTTGCGGGAAAAATATTGCCAGCTTCAAATCCTTTTACGTATGAAGTAAATATTTTGAGTATATAAATAAAACATATAAATAAATCATTTTAAGTATTATCATTAATCAAACGATTTTAATGGATTTTATGCACATAAAATAACATCGAAGACATACCCATTGGACTTTAACTTGTAACTATACTTGAGACCTTAGAACTTATATCTCAAGGTGGGTGGCGCATTTACGTTGTAGATGTATGTGGGCTCGAGTAACCACTTAGCAACACCAGGGTGGCTGTGAGCTCGCCCACCCATCTAAGCAATAAAAAAAACTTTACTAGTATTGTTATTTAAATATGTACAACTAAAACAAAAACATAAAAAATAATGTGTACTCGTAAAAAAAAGATTAAGATATAAATCAATTATCGGTTATTTAAAAAA